CAGAATGGCTATCATCAATAAATCAATAATCAACAAGTGTGGTGAGGATATGGAGAAAGTGGAACCCTTTTGCGCTGTTGGTGGGAATACAGACTGGTGCAGCCACTGTGGAAAAGAGTATGAAGATACCTCAAACAGTTAAAAATGGATTTGCCTTTTGACTCAGTGATCCCACTTCTGGGAATAGAGCCAAAGGAACTCAAAACACTAATTTAAAAGAATATAAGCACCCCTTTGTTCATTGCAGTGTTATTTACAATCACCAGGATATGGAAGCAGCCCAAGTTTCCATGAGTACAGGAATGGATAAAACAACTGTGGGACATTTACACAATGGAATTCTACTTGGCCATGAGAAAGAAGAAAATTTTACCTTTCGCAATAGTATGGATAGACCTAGAGAACATTATGCTAACTGAATTAAGTGAGTCAGAGAAAGACAAATATCATATGATTTCACTCATATGTGGAATGTAACAAACAAACTGAACTAACAAGCAAAACAGAAACTAATTTATAGATGGAGAACAGATGACAACTAGTTGCGGAGGGATTTGGGGTGAGGGGATTGAGTAAAAAGGAAAAAGGACACATGGACATGGACAATAGTGTGGTGATTGCTGGGGGGAGTGTTTATAAGGGGACTAAATGGGAATGGAAAAATTATAATAAAGAGTATATATTTAAAAATAAATATTATGGGAAAAGTTTAAAAAATAGAATTACTGTATATATTACTGAAGCCAAGGCTGTCATGAGAGAATAATGTAATTTGCATTATTAACCCAATAATACACTATCATTTTGGCAAAAAGGCCTTTTTTTTCTTAGAAGTAGACAGAATAGTGAAAGTTAAGATAGTTTTAAAAAAGGAGACTTGTTTTTTGCTATGCAGTTTACTAGCAATCTTACCTGGAATATTTAACTGAATATCTTTCTGCTTTTCTCTACTCTCACCTGTCTCCTTTGTAGTTCCTTGGTTACCATAAAAGTATCCACTACACTGAGTATTTCTCATTGCTGAAATGATATAATATTATCAGAAACACTACCAGATATAAAGCACTCATTCAATTAAAATAAATGCAAAGCAATCCACTACTTTTTTACCTTAATATTTCTGTCTACCTTGGTTGAAAATATGTGTTCTTTGGCAGGTTAAAGTATGTGAGATGATGGTTGGATGTTATTTATATTCTCCATCTTTTTGTTAGGTGACATTATATCTTAAATGAAAAAAAGTGTTTAGCATCTTAAATATGTGTTTACTTCTACATACTAACATTTAAACTAGAGCTTCAATATTCATTATCCAGAACTTAAATGAGTGTTTTCCAGTTAATACACCAATCACAATAATAAAGACACAATAATTTTGTTATGGCAGAAAGCTACACTACTCTTCCAGGCTCAAAGGCCAAAGGACTGAGTAAAATGATCCCCCCCGGCATCCGGCACTGTCTTTAGAGACATGATGAAGGACACTGAATGACTCTTAGAAGAGAGTCCTCAAGGAAGACCAGGACCAGCACAAAGGCAACTTCATGGAGTTCAAAGCCATGACATGGGAATCTGGCATACGAGGAGACAACATGGAAAAGTGGAAAAGCCTTGACCTAAATTTCAGCTCTGTAGCCCTTACTTGCTTGAGTAGGTTATTTGGCCTCTGACCTTCAGCCTGTTTCGGTGAAATGGAGCTACAGCCCCTGCCTTAGGGTCCTTGTGAGGGTTCAGTAAGATGATGGAGGTGAAGACCCTGGCACAGGGTGTGGAACATACAAGGATCTTAGTAAAGGTGAGCTTGGGTTGTTATTACTATAGGAGTGCTGTTGACCTTGAGGGATCAATCACTGTGTCCACTATTTCACTGTGTTCTTTGTTGTCCAAAATGCGGGTTAAGCAGTAGTCTTAGCACCAAGCCTGCCACATGCAGCATGTACAATAATTATGACAGAACATTATTTCTATTGTGTTGACATGCATGGCCATGCAATGACAAAGGTCCAGAGGTTAATAATGGCTAATAATTCTTGAATGCAGCCTCTGGCTACCAAGTCCCATCCTACAAGATGCCTTTTCCAGTAGGTTATGTGACAACTCAGCTATACTTGTATTTTTGTTGAAGAAAAATGTGGTGGCAGTTGAGTAGCTCTGCTCTATAGAAAGCTGTTTCTTTTGAACAAGAGTATCAGAGGTGTCTGGCCTTAACTTTAAAGAGAGGGGCTCAGTGGCAGCAACAAAGAAAATGACCCTGGATGCTACTCTTAACATTTCCCTTTCCTTACTTAGGCATTTGATGTAGCATTTCCTTAAATTTTTCCATAAGTTCTTTCTCTACTAATGCTTGCAACAGGACCCTGTCAAAGTATGGAATGATTACAACTAGACTTTTGAATGCAGCATTCACCATGAAGCCAAGTAAATTCCAGAGGTGTCAGAAAGTCTAAGCTAATGATGCTTAACTTATTAAGGTCCTGTCAACAAGGTAGAGCAACATGCCATGATTTGTTGATAACTTTCAAGCAAAGGCAAAATTCCCAAACATAATTTTCTCATTTTATTCTCATCCCCACCTCCATCAGGAAAAATGAGTTGAATTATTACAAAAGCTGGCTGGTGATGCTCTAAAAAATCTCACCTTAGTATCACGTTTTAGAGTGGGCAGAGCTGGGAGATTATCAGGTACTTAGATGGAGGACATAGCTACAAATTTTCAGGGTTTTTTTTCCTTTCAAAATGTGTATAAAGGAACATGGGACTGAGAGAAAAGGAGAGATACTTGCTCTTTCAACAACTGTCTCTATTCCTTGCCTGGGCTGAGCTTCAGTGAAATAGATGGTGAGATACCTTACAGTGGATATGTGTTCAGCCACACACACACAAAAAAAAAGATTGGAGGGCCAGTATATTTCATTTAGTACCCTGAGTTTCATTTCCTACATCACATATTGGGATCACTAAGAGCATGCAGTCAGTGGGTAGGCAGACTGTTACTAGTTACATAGTCCTCTCAAGTCAATTTAAACCTCTGAACCTGTTTTCTCCTGTGTGAAAAGGGGATAACCATGCCTGCCCAGCAGGGTAGAACTAAACGTTTAATGAGTTGATGTATAAAAAGCTTTTAGGTGTTTATTGTGAGGCTCCAGATAAAAATTTTTTTAACCTCTTAGCACATGAAAGTTACAGAGGAAGAGATTATAAGCATGAGTCTGCTCAGATTCTAGGATAATCACCAGCTTCATTTGCTTCCCAATTGGACTGGAGAGTGAATTTATAATACTGTTTATTTAATGCTTGAGTGCAAAGAATTTGGTCTGTCTTTCAATATTAAATGTGCTAATACACATAATGGTACTCAATATGTTAGCTGATATTATTCTTACTGTTGTTATTACTTACCAATCTGGAGAAACACCATGACATACAGAAAAGAGAAAATGGGGAAGCAAGGGGATTTTTCCCTCTTGATTGTGACTACTGAAGTCAGTATTGCTCAACACTTTGTATAAGTTTTTATTTGTTCATTTAATTTAAAGGTTTTTTTAAAATATTTTATTTATTTATTTTTCGAGAGAGGGGAAGGGAAGGAGAAAGAGTGGGAGAGAAATATCAATGTATGGTTGCCTCTTATGTGTCCCCTGCTGGGAACTGGCCTGCAACCCAGGCATGTGCCCTGACTGGGAATCGAACCGCGATACTCTGGTTCGCAGGCCCGCACTCAATCCACTGAGCTACGCCAGCCAGGGCTAATTTAAAGATTTTTAATTTATTTATATTTAGAGGGGAAAGGAAGGAGAGAGGGAGAGAAATATTAATGTATGGTTGCCTCTCATGCGTCCCCTGCTGGGAACTGGCCTGCAACCCAGGCATGTGCCCTGACTGGGAATCAAACCGCAATCCTTTGGTTTGCAGGCCTGAGCTCAATCCACTGAGCTACACCAGCCAGGGCTGTATAAGTTTTTATATTTTCTTCGTTCCTTCATTGACCTCTGAACCAACAATTTTTCTAATGGCTACTAGTTTGTTTTTTCCTTTGTATGACTGCTAGACTCTCCGAAGCATCCCAAACCACCTGGCTATCAGTTTTCCAAGATTCCTGATTAAGCACTGGTATGCATATATCACAGGTATCCTTAACTCTCACCTCCATAAGGCTGGGGAGACACAAGACTCACCTGATTGCCTGGATTTTAGTGGAGGATAGCTGTGTCTATTGAGAAGTGATGCGGTTATTGGCATGGGAATCCTGGCATTACAATGAGTAAGGGACACCTAGCCTAGTGATTCTCATTCTAGGAAGTGGGCTACAATGTCAGATTGGAAACACGACTTCTCAAGACATATTTCTACACTCCAGCAGCTCTGTTTGGCTTCACTAAGAAAGAATAACATCTGCAAGAGCAGCTGTTCCTTTAGTGGATATCAGCATTTAAAGGTTAAACAATCATTTGTTTAAACAGTAGGAAACTACACAACCAGGCTAGACTTTGCCAGAGTCAAGGCTAGGTGCAGAAGAAACTACCAAGGCATGTAAAGAAGTGTCAGGTAAGAATGAAAATGAATAATTCTGTCAGTATTTAAAAAGTGGCTTCAAACTATTGTGTTTCTAGGGGCTTAGAACTGTATCACAAGTGTCTTAAGGGCTGCTGGGGGCTACCAGGAGCTGTGTGTGTGTGTGTGTGTGTGTGTGTGTGTGTGTGTGTGTGTGTGTCACAGGCATCCTCCCCCCAACTCCAGAGAGGGGAGGAAAGGAAACTGAGAGCCTTCTACCCCTACTCCAGTTGGACTGGGGTGGGAATGCAGTCTTCAAGTGCCTCAGTGGGTTATGTGAGGGAGGGCTAAACTGAGGCCTGACCACTTGCAGTAAAGGAAGAATACTACTATAAAGCCAAGAATAAATTTTTATGATTGTTTTGAGAAAAACAACTCAAAACAAAACCAAAGTTTTCCCCAAATACAATACTCCCCCATTGGTCCCTTGAATAAAATATCAAGCTTACCTTAATATATTGTACAACACGCTCATTTACATTCACTTTGTAAGTTTTTAAACCCAGCTCCTTAGATAACCTTAAGATCCTGTTCTGGGTGGGTCCAACATAAGCCCCGCCAACATCTACATAATCAACATGTTCATTCTGTAGAAAGAGAAAAAGTGTTAAAAAGACTTTAGTTAAAACTTGAAAAAGAAGGTTGTCTTATAGTAAAACATTTACTTTTTACAACTTAAGTGTGCCTTACATCTCTCTGATAAAATGCAACTGAAAAGATCAACCCTTTCTACTCCACTCAAGAACTGGGCACAACTCCATATGACATTCATTACCAAGCAACTCCATTTGCATAGTTATTGGTGAGGCTATTCCAACAACAGTATACATAAAAAATAAAAAACACTTGCCCTGGCTGGTGTGGCTCACTGGATTGAGCACTGGCCTGTGAACCAAAAGGCCCCTAGTTCAATTCCCAGTCAGGGCACATATCTGGGCTGTGGGCCAGGTCCCCAGTGGGGAACATGTGGGAGGCAACCACACATTGATGTTTCTCTCCCTCTCTTTCTCCCTCCCTTCCCCTCTCTAAAAATAAATAAAATCTTTTTTAAAAAGGAATAAAGAACACTGTAGTACATCCTGCCAATCTAGAATCATTTTAAAGCACTTAGGTTATTTTCTATGCTTTTCTTTGGGCTTGCTGCTGCAGGATCCACCTAGGAATTTCTTATGACTAATTCTAAGTTTTCCAACAGATGAAATCTCAAACCAGCCAACACTGATGGGCTACTGATCTGATTTTAAAACATAGGAAAGAATGCATCATAGAAAAAGAGTATGAAAACATATTAAAAAGATTCATATACCTAACAAATTCGTTTGTAAATATGCAAGCCTTTGTCCTTAAACCAAAGTTTACTTTCCCCCTCTTAAATGCAGTTCTACATTTTCCAAGCTTTTTTTATTAATACATTCCCCAATAAATTGATCAATAAATTAAATACTGGTGAGTTATAATTCCTCCATGTGTTTGTAATAACTTTTTACAGGTCTGTTTCTACTTTGTTGTTTATACCAGTTCTCATTCATGTTGCCTCCTCTTGTTTGCCTGATTATTTTATATTTCATGCCATTTGTTGAATCTGAAAACTGGAAATAATTTTAATCCTAGGAGGATACTATCTTTCTCAGAGAAAATTTATGTCTGCTTCTGCCCAGCACCTGGGTTCACTAACAATACCTGATAACTTTATTGCATTTTCTGTGCCTGGATGATGTGAAGTTGGGTTGAATGTACTCATGGCCTAGTCCTTTCGCAATTTGCCCTTAGTGCTAGGACAGAATTGAACCCAAAGCATGAGCAGTTTGCCAACAGTTCTCTCCACACACACATACTTTTGTGAACTTTGGGCTTGACCTTTAGTTGTCCTAGCTTTGTAAAAGTTTTGAAAGTACTATTCAGCCTCTTACTTGCTTCTTCAGTGGTCAGCAAAGCCCTCCCTCCCCAATGCACCAGTGAGAAGTAAAGTAGGTCAATCTTTCCATTACAGGTGTTCTAGAAGGGTTGGTACAATGTAACTAACCTGTTATTTCCAGAATATTGTCTAGTATTATTCAACCTCAGCTTCCTGGAGTAGCCTGACCTCATATTATCTTTCTATTGTAGGATATGCTTTGCTAACATATTGTTTAAGATTTTTGCATCTATGTTCATAAATGAGATTGAGATCATCCCATGATTCTCCTTTCTTCTACAGCCCTTGTCTGTTTTTTTCTGCATTAGAGTATTGCTAGTCTCATAAGTTAATTATCATACTTTCTTCTGTTCTCTAGAAGAGTTCGTCTATAAATTGAATGAACTCTTCTTTGAACATTAGGTAGGACACTAAGCGTAGATAGCTGTAGAGCTATAGAGCTATCTAGGCTTAGCATTTTCATTATGGGAAAATAATATACAGATTCAATTTATTTTGAGGCAGAAGCACTGCTCATATTTTTTATGTCTTTTTAACTCAGTGTTAATTTCAATAAATTATACTTTTCTTATAAGATACACATTTCATGTATGCTTCAAAATATGACTGGTAGGGAGTGCGGTGGAGACTCAAGAGAGCTGGCTGGGTGTCTACAGGCAGCAGTGCCAGAGGCATAATTAAGCGACCAGTTAGATCCCCCTAAGAAGAATGGGGTCTAAACCCTAAGTAAGATTCTCAGCCTAAAGCACCAGGGCCCAAAAAGGACACAGATAATAACCAAAAGCAAAAAGTGGCAGGGCCGTAGAGACAGACAGCTGGAGATGCAAGAGGGGTTTAAAGGGGCAACACAAATTTTCATTTGCAGCCATTTACACTGGGCTCTGGCAAAAGCAGGGGCAGAGTGGCCTGAGGAGAGACTAAGGACTGAAGTTTGGGGGAGAGAACTGAGAGAATAGACACCAGGGTCCTGGTACAGAGTTATACCCCATGCTGCAGCAGCCAGTGTGTTCAGGCAGACCACTCCCCTCCAAGACGCAGCATCCTGAGGGGAAACAATAGCCTTGACCCCTGGAGGGTATATGCCCTGCTCTGGTGGTGCTTAAGTGTGACTGCCGAGTGCAGAGGGACCAGATTAAGAACCAAAGAAGGTAGCCAGAGATGGTAGATCCCTGGAAAAGGGGAGGGGCAGAGTGCACTAGAAATGTTTGAGAAAAGACTAGGGTTGGAGGCCCTGGAGAGGGAACTGAGAGTAGCTGCTGGATCCCAGTGCTGAGCCAATACCCACATGCAGCAACCTTCCTGCTCAGGCAGACCACTCTCCTCAGAGCAGCAGCAGCCTGAGGGGAAACAATAGCACCCACCCCAGGAGGGATTCAGCTCTGCCCTAAGTTGCTTAAACTTGACTGCTGAGGGTAGAGTGACTGACATGTTGTCCCTCAGTCTTTAGGGTCTTGATTTCAACCTCATTACACAACCTTCTACTATTAGAAGCAATTATGGTATTATTCAATTCAGTTTCTTATTAAATCCCATTTCTTTTCCTGCTTTTAAAGCTCCCTTTTTTCTATTCGTTCGAAATCTTTCAAATGTTAGATTCTAGTTTCCAAACATGTCAGAGTTCCTTTCTTATACACCTGAGGGAACTTATAATATCATGATCAATACACAATAGTTCCTGTATAGTGTTGCCTTATATAAATTACGCAGCATGAAAAAGCAGCCTGGGGCAATAACATATTAGATCTCTCATTTCCCTTATACAAATAAATTTATTCTTAACTGAAGATCTGCAACCATGCCTGATGTTCTTATTTAATAACCAAAAGGTTTTAGAGATAAGAAAAGTAAGACTAAAGGACAACTTAATAATTATCTCAAAAATGAAGAAATATTTCCAGAAAATGACAGAACAATCATATCTGATAAGGTTGTACAGGCAGAATATGCAATCTTTCTTTTTAACTATAAACATGACTTCAATTAGAATTTGAGTTGGAAGGGAACTTCAAGTACATTTAAATTAAATCTCACTGCTCAGATGAGAAAAATAAGATGTAAAAGAACTAACTAATAAGACTTACCCAAGGTAACATAGTGTGTCAAGCCAATACAGGGGCCAGAATCCCAGTCTCCTCACTCCCACACCAATAGCTTCCCAGTGGACTATATCTGAGGAAGTACTAAGAAATTCTCCAGATACAACTATTCTAAATATACATTAATTTAAAGCAAGTAAATAAACAAATAAATATATATTATAGAGGAGCATTTAGAGGTAGTATTCCCTTGCAAAATACAGATTCAGCTTCAGCAGGTCTGAGACAGGTTCTGAGATTCTGCATTTCTATCAAGCTCCAAGGTGTTTCTGAAGCTAGGGTCCTATAGGGCACTTTGAAAACCAAGGTTGTAGAGCAGTCTTAGAGTGGAACAGAGTGAAAATGGGCCCATTGTATACCCCTGTATGTCTAAAAATGTAGAAAGCAAATGACAGAGGGGAGTATAGCATAGTGTGGCTGAAACAGCTGGTATAATATCTTAGTTTAGATGTTGCTCTTTGGCTATTCCATATCTAATCAAATTCTCTTTCCCATGCCTGCTTTTATTATGCATCCTGAAAATGGTAAATACTTGCTTTCCCAAGCTCCTTAGCAGCTAAGGGTAGCTAAGTACCCCAACTCTGATCAATAGGACTCAAGCAAATGTCTGCTGGGGTCTTGGGGTAAAGGAAAAACTTAGCGGCAGGTAACTTGGCTATCTCTTCATGCTCTTTCCTGCCTTAAATGAGGACTTGATGCTCAGAGATGCAGCATCCATCTTGTTACCATTGGCAATAAGCCAACATAAAAAGAATGAGGAGAAAGACTAAAAGAGCATAATCTTGATGACAGCTGAACCCCTGCACTAACTAGCCTGAACTACCTACCACCAGACTTCTTCTTATGTAAAATAACTGAATGTTTGTATTGCTTAAGCCATTCTTATTATCATGATGTAAGCCATTCTATACTAAGTCTGACATATCTTCTGTTTTTTAAGATTTTATTTATTTATCTTTAGAGGGAAGGAGAGAGGGAGAGAAACATCAATGTATGGTTGCCTTTCATGCATCCCCTGCTGGGAACTGGCCTGTAGGGAACAGCCTGCAACCCAGGCTTGTGCCCTGACTGGGAATCGAACTGCGATCCTCTGGTTTGCAGACCTGTGCTTAATCCACCAGCCAGGGCCTGACATATCTTCTAATTACATAGGTGCTTCCTTTCCTTCTAGTCACTTCAACAATTTAGTTTTGTCCTTACAGCCAATCCCCAGCCTTTAATACTCTATTTGTGTGCTCTAACAAAGAGTCTTATAAATTACTTATAACTGGCAAACACAAGGGTCTTTTCAGTTTTCATCATTTATCAAATGCTGATGGTATTTGACTACCTAGCATACCTTCCTCTTTCCTGTACTGATTTGCATGTCACTGTTCTGATATGGTCCTCCTGTGTCTCTGCTACCCTTAAATCTGCATGCTCCCCAAACTTCCATTTTTGGCCCTACTTCCTTCCTACCTTATGTCATCTATCTGTATACTTTCATTTGCTGCCACAGATTCAAACACCAGCATCTATTTCCTTGAATAGTAGTAATTGATATTTAGTGTTCATTTTTCCAGAAGGGTGATATGATTCCAAGTACAGGCAAACCTTGGAGAGATAGCGGGTTTGGTTCCAGACCACAGCAATAAAGCAAATATCCAATAAAGAGACTAACACAATTTTTTAGTCTTAGTGCATATAAAAGTTATGTTTATGCTACAATATAGTCTATTAAGTGTGTAATAGCATTGTGTCTAAAAAATGTACAATCTGTAATTTAAAATACTATATTGCTAAAAAATGCTAACCATCATCTGAGCCTTCAGCAAGTCATAAACATTTTGCTGGTGGAGATTGTCATCTTCAATTCGTAATTTAAAAAATGCAATGTCTGCAAGGCACAAATAAAACAAGGTATGCTGTACAAAAAGCAGTGATGTAGTGAAAACTGGGTTTCTTGTCATGTCTAGCTGACTCTACCTGATCAAAGTCTCTCTGGCAGCAGCACACCATTAAGGGAACAAAGACCAAGGAAAAAGTTATGCAAAAATATGCTACATTTGTTTCTTCTTACTGCAGCTACACTTCTTTTAAGTTTTGTATCCTTGGATAAATAAACGAGGAACCTATACTAAGTGCACTTGTGTCATGGGTATATAGTTACTTTGAGTCAGGTCAAATTGTAACCCCACCCTGAGACACTACATCCTCTATTTAAGTCTCTGGTATAGAAATGTTGACATTGTGCTAAAGTTATTTGTTCACATTTGTGTTCTTCATTAGAATGTAAGCTCCTGAAGGTCAGAGACCATCACACTTTTGGTGAGTGCTTATTGAAAAAAAGGGACACTTATTTGATGGAGTAGTTTAGGGTTATGGAGGACAAATGGCTTTACTGCATGAACTTTTGGAATCCCTTCTAGCCCTGTATCTTCCATTGATCCTGCTTCTAGTTTGTGTGAGATATTATATATAAGTATTTAAATTACTTACTCTGACAGTGTATGTTCTACCTCCAACTCTGTCCCGGGCTTCTAAAACCAAAACACTAACTTCAAGTTCAGCTAACAATTTAGCTGCAGATAATCCTAAAAGGAAAAAAAAAAGAGAAAAAAAAATCAAGGAACGCATTAACATTTAAACATGAAATATCCAAGATTTAATCAGATCTACACATAAAATTAATGCAGGGTATCATACAAAATCCATTGATTTTTCTGTCTTTTTAATATATTCTGACTGCATTGTGATTAATTTTATAATCCATCATATATTATACGTTATATATAAAATATAAAATATAAACATACAATATATTGTTACATACAATTATATAATATAATGTATTACATAATATATATTACCCATTATACTTTTATTATCTATCAAAAGGGTGGTTTAACAAAGTATAATCATTTTTTTAAATACATATTTTATAGTTCAAAAATAATCAAATCACATTTAGGAGAACTTGGTGTACTTTTAATTAGTCTATTGTGCACCTCTTCCAGAAATTCTGATTGTATAAACAGAAGAGTAAGTTTTCCTGGAAACTCCCCTGGCTACATCTCAGTATATCTGCTTTTCTCAACTTAACATTCCCTTATAATCACTTCCTATGATGTAATACTTGTATTACATGCTTGCCAGATCATGACTTCCCCACTCCATTTAAAGTTACCAAAGGTAGATACTATGCTATATACTTGATTCATTCACTTAAAGCTGACAACACATTTTCACTTGTAAATAATAACTTTCATTAAAGTTTGATTTTTAAACCAGTATACGAAGACCAGAAAAGTGGAGAAAATGTTGTGAATTAACATTATATCAAAGGTGCATGCTATTGACATAACTTATAATTGATGTTAATCTTGACCAACTGGCTGAGTTATTGTTTGCCAGGTTTCTCTACTGTAAAAGCTACCCCCACCTTCCATGCTATACTCTTTGAATAGAAGTCTATGCACAACCTACACTTGAGAAGATACAAAGAACAGACTGATGGTTGCAAGAAGGGTTGGGGGCGCTGGGTGAAGAAAGTAAAGGGATTAAAAACTACAAGTTGGTAGCCACAAAATAGTACCAGGGATATAAAATACAGCAGAGGAAATATAGTCAATAATATTGTAATAACTATGTATGGTGCTAAGTAGGGACTGGAAATATTGGGGGACTGCTTTGTAAAGTATCTGATTATCTAATCACTATATTACATATCTGAAACCTAATACAAAATAATAATGAATATAAACTGTAATGAAAAATAAAAATAAAAAAAAGAATTGGTGAGTTATGTCCCAGTTCCTTGAGGATGAGGTATGGACATAAATTACTTTGAATTCTGCTGCTCAGGAGATTTGTCTCCCTTCTCCCATTTATTTATGTGTTTAGTAATGTATTTATATCACTATGGACTCACAAATAGATATAATCTAATATCACATTGTTTCTTTTGTTGCTCAAATTCTTCCACCTTTGGTCACTGGGAATTGTTTCAATTGCCTCTTGTGTCTCTTTGACATGCTCCCATCTTTTTATATATATGTGTCTGTGTAATTCCTTAATTTCTGGCATTATAAAATGTTCTAGCCTCATCTTGTCTTTCTCTGCTCTGATCCTAGAACCAGCTATTTCCCCCACGAGCCTTTGTTCCTTTTATTAGAAACCAAGATCTGGGCTCTAGTTGTGCCCCATTGTTACTTGGGGTGTCACTGGTTCTAGACCCACTTGGCTCACAGAGTAAGAAAATATATGTGTGTACACACTTATTTTTAAATATACATTTTTTACTTATAATGGTATTTTATACTTAGTTTTCTTTATACTCCTATTACAAAAAATATGAAGCAGACTACAGAGATAAATATACTTCAAGGAGAAAAAATCATTAGTTAGAACATTAGCGTGAAAGACGAAAAAGAATGAAAAAGATTAGTAAACTGATACAAATGATACCTAAACAGGTATAATAGTGGTAGAGGAGATAAACTATTCTAAGTGATTTTTAAATCTGGTAATTTGATAGGTCACTCCTAATGGTATATATCTTAAAAATGAACCAAAAAAACCTGCCAACATTTTGTTCAGTAACCATTTCATTGGTACTAGTACTGGTATTGTCATTTTGCGGTTATTATATATGTGGTATAGGATAAAGAATCTGACTACACTCAAAATGCAAAAACCATAAAATAGGAAAATAGCAAATCATAGCAAGGCAAATTTTTAATAATTTTGCAATTTAAGTGTTTTAAATAGGGATGATAACTTTAAAACAATACAAGTCCTCTCCTGATTTCTCTCTCTTCAATCACTTGAATTTTACAGAAACCAAAATAAAGTAGGTTAATGGATTTATTAGGGAGGTTTAAAATAAAGCAACTCTACTAAAAGCACACCTCATTTGAGAGTTCAGGCAATGGTAGTCCTAATTATTACATCAGCAGAGCCTGGGTGAGAGTAGGCAGCCACCATTTTGAGGTTGCCATGGCAACCTCGAACCAAGTTCCAACTTCTTAAAGGCACTGCCTATGAAAACTGTATTCCCACAGATTCTGCACTGCTTCCAGCACCCTGAGATGGCTATTCTTCCCATAGCAATGGTACGGTAAATGATTTAACCCACATAGTGTACCCCAAAAAGGATTTAACATCTGCAATGGCGCTGGCTGTGAGGCTCAGTTGATTGGAGCGTTGTCCCATAAACTGAATGAGTGGACACAGATTTAATTCTCATTCAGGGTATACACCTAAGCTGGGGGTTTTATCCCTGGTCAGGGCACATACAGGAGGCAGCTGATCAATGTTTCTCTTTCACATCAATGTTTCTCTCCCTTTCCCTCTCCTTCATTTCCTCTCTCACTAAAATAAATAAGCATGTCCTTCAGTGAAAATAAAATAAAAAAAACCTCAAGACACATCATAATTGAATTACACAAGATTAACGATAAGTAGAGAATCTTAAAAGCAGCAAGAGAAAAGGAGACAATTACCTACAAAGGAGTTCTCATAAGACCATCAGCTGATTTCTCAAAAGAAATCTTGCAGGCCAGAAGGGCTGGAAAGAAGTATTAAAGGTCATGAAAGTCAAGGACCTATATCCAAGATTGCTCTATCCAGCAAAGCTATCATTTAGAATGGAAGGGCAGATAGTGTTTCTCAGACAAGGTCAAGTTAAAGGAGTTCATCATTACCAAGCCCGCATTATATGAAATGTTAAAGGGACTTATCTAAGAAAAGGAATGTGATAAAAAATATGAACAGTAAAATGACAATAAATTCACAACTATCAACAACCGAACCTTAAAAAAAAAAACAAATGAAGCAAACAACTAGAACAGGAACAGAATCACAGAAATGGAGATCACATGGAGGGTTATAAGCAAGGAGGGGGAGAATGGGGGAAAAAGTACAGGGAGTAAGTAGCATGAATGGTGGGTACAAAATACAGAGGAAATTTAAGAATAATATAGGAAATGCAGCGGTTCGATTCCCAGTCAGGGCACATGCCTGGGTTGCAGGCTGGTTCTCTGCAGGCCAGTTCCCAGCAGGGGACGCACTAAATGCAGCCATACATTGATGTTTCTCTCCCTCTCTCCTTCCCTTCCCCTCTAAAGATAAATAAAAAATAAATCTTAAAAAAAAAAAAAGAAATGGAGCCCTGGTTGGTGTAGCTCAGTGGATTGAGCGCGGGCCTGCGAACCAGAGGATTGCGGTTCAATTCCCAGTCAGGCCACATTCGTGGGTTGCAGGCCAGTTCCCAGCAGGGGATGCACCAGAAGCAACCATACATTGATATTTCTCTCCCTCTCTCCTTCCCTTCCCCTCTAAAGATAAATAAATAATAAAATCTTAAAAAAAGAGAAATGGAGAAGCCAAAGAACATCTATGTGTGACCCATGGACATGAACTAAGGGGGCAGATGTTGGTGGGAGGGGGTGCAGGGTGGAGGGGGATAATGGGGAAAAATGGGACAGCTGTAATAGTATAATCAATAAATAAACTTTAAAAAACATCTTCAATAAAGATTTCAAAGAAATAGTCCTTTGCTTCTTGAGATATAAATCTCAAGTATCTTGTCACTGTAGAACCTTGCTTCACACTTATTTTTGCCTTTACCTTGCCAAAGGTCTTTCCTTTACCTTACCTTAAAGCACATTCACAATGCTCTATTTCAGAAAAACAGAAATTGGTCCATTTCACTCATGCCACCCTTTCCAATTAAATTTCTGGTTTTCTCTTTTTTCTTTTCTTTCCTTTCTTCTCTCTCTCCCTCTCTCTCTCTTTCTTTCTTTGTTGTTCAAGTACAGTTGTCTCCATTTCCACCCCACCACTCCCCACAACCCCAGCCACCCCCACTCTCCACCCTTGATCCTACCTCTCTTTGGTTTTTTCCATGTGTCCTTTATAGTTGTTTCTGAAAATCTTTCCCCCTTTCCCCCCATTATACCCTTCCACCTCCCCTCTGGTTACTGTCAGTTTGTTTTTAATTTGGTTTTCCTTATATAACAAATTATCTAGTTTCTCCACTTCCTCACTAGAACAAACCTTGAAGTATAGTGTATTCTTTGGAAAAAAAAAGTCCAGTGACCCTATCATCAATATAGATGAGTGATATAATAATCTGATCCTGTTATCCTGTTTTTTCTTAGCACACATTGCCACCTGGCACATTAGAAATATTAAAACTCAGCAGATTCTAAATACTACTAGTACATTTTCTGGTCTTTGAACCAGCATTGAACTTTTTAGCAAAAAGCAACAGAGAATATAACATGCATATACAGTTGTTTGGTACATACAACCATTTGTATCATCTATCATCTATCTATTTATCTATCTATCCATCCGTCAAACCATTTATCTATTCATATATTCATCTGTATATTCTGCTTTTTTTCAGAAACAATTCTCTGCTTTTGAAACTGCTAAATCTTCTAACCCTTTTGATAAGCTCAAAGACAGTGTTGTCTCAAATTATAAAGAGATAAAAACTAACAAATAACTTTAATTTGTCCTGAATTGGATAGACTGGTTGTCTAGACAGCCCAAATTTCTTTGATTATTGTTCAGCATTCATCTT